GATTGTTTAATGTGTAAATAGTGGTTTCTTCTTAATATTGCAGACTAATGTTTACGTAAAACTTTTATAGGTGATAATGATACTAAAACTTAAAGCAACTATGAAAGTTTATAATAATCACATAATATCCACATATACTTACGACATATTTTTACCTTAAAGCTTAGTGTACGCAAGTTCTAAAGATACTTGTTGACGGAGTCATCAAAATAAGTTTTTAAAGTGCAGCTATTATTTATGAATGTGTATAGATAAGGATAACTTAACCGTGTGGTGACGGATTAAGAATACAGAGTGTCACCACCCCTATTCATCTCGTGGGTGTCGTAAGAGGCGACTAAGGAAGCAAACTACGCAGGACAACAGCACTGCAGAAGGAAAACTTGAAACAAACCCTATACCAACCCGTCTGGCCAGCGTGGTATAGTAGGCCAAAACCTTCTTCCTAAGGAGAGGCCTATGTCCAGCAGTGGACTAGTAAAAGCTGTTGATGATGATGATGAAGGATAACTTTGTAATATATACCAGTCATTTGTCTTACTATCTTCAATTATACACCTGCAACACACAGTTCTACATCAGCACTGGTAGAAAACGACTATGGCATTAAGAAGGCCTTGTGCAATGTATTTGCAGGAAATATTAAAGAAATAAATATATCTATTATGTATACTTTAACCGTTCTCTGTATTTTAAACTACTATTACTACTACTACTACTATTACTATATACTTCTATTACTATACTATGGTCACTCCTCCTCTTCCAAGGATCGAATGAGATGTAACATCGCCCATAAACGTTTTACAATGAATACTCCATACAATAAAAAAAGAGTTTTTAAATTCGTCCGACAGACAAAAATGTCTATAGCCATTATTATGTCATAGAAGAAGACTTAACTTTTAACCATTTATATACAACAAAGTAACACAACTTATATAATATTGATCGTCTATACTTTTATCTATTCCCCCCTTATTTCTTAATTTTAATTTTACTTATTTTGAAAATTACTGGGTATCGTAAAATAAATGTTATTACTGTTATTGTTTTGTACTCGCTTTGTCATTTATTCTAAACTGTTTTCATATTACGCACTAGGTAAAATAGCAATCTCAGATTCGTACAACAGAGTCATATCTATAACTTGCTATACATTCAATGAACATTGAAATACCTCAGTAATGTTCTAACCTCAATCTAAACTGTATATTAAGTGTGAAGAATCATAGTACGACATAGTCGCTATAGCTGCCATCTCGGAGCATGCATTACCATCTAATCCCTGGATGAGTTCAAGTGTGACACGGAATATTAAACGGCTTTGGTAGGTCACCCCGGATTAGCTGATCCCCGAAACTTTGCCAAGAACGGACGAACTTTAATTATGGTTTAATCATAGTTTAGATATCCATTATATAGTATTTTCATGATATTCGTTAGATTAAAAAACCGTATGATATTTTAAAAGTATTCACAAAAGGCTTTATGATGTCTATGAATGCAATGTTCTTTATTTGATTTAAAAGTAAAATGGATGAAAAATTGTTTATAAGAAAAAAAATCGACAGCGAATGAATTTTAAATTTGTTGATCTGAAAATGAAAGTTCTAATTCTTACGGCGATGATGTCTTTAGGTCGATTTAAAAAAAATAACAATGCAACAAGGTATTTAATTTGCTTTTGATTGAATAATTACATTTCTCTACAAACAATAGTTAAATAAATATTTTGTTTTAAAAGTAGTTTAGGGAAATTGAAGCAGAATTTATTAAATTTCTAACCATCTTAGTAGTTCAAAGTATGAAAAATTCTGATCACAGTAAGTTCATTCCGTTATTTCGGGACGATATCTGTATAAAATAACTCTAACAAAACTAAACAATCTCCACCAAACACCTTACCCAAATGAAACTTTACGTCGACAATAAACGTCCTGAAGAAAATTTGTTTCCTCAAAGTTATTCCAGCGCCATTGTTCGCCACAATAGCCCCGCTGATTCCTGAGCAATGGCGTGATGTAATGTCCTCACTAAACATAACACAAGTGGGCAACTTTGCTTTCTTGCAACTGTTTCCGAAATAAGAGTAGGGAGGGGTGAAGAAATATTGAGGAAAAAAATATCCACGTAAGAAACGTATAGCTGCGACAAAAAGAGTGTATGTTTGTATTAAAGGTGAATGGTGCGAAATTTTTGTTCACTAGTATCATAGTATCAAATGTATCTTTCGTTATCTTTAGCCAATTTATTTCAATAACAGTGATACCTACTGGGAATATCAAAGTTACTTTTGACCGACTTCTACTGCCTCCCTAAGGAATAAGAAAGATTCGAGATTTTCCTTTTTTAGAGTGCACTCCGGCAAACAATTAAAGAATATAAAAAACCGGTCAGGTACGAGTCGAACTCGTGCGCCTAAGGTTCCGTACCTACTCAGAATTATTCGTTTATTTGTGCTGTAAGACGTTTCTTTTTGCTAAATTTCGTGATTCTAGGTCAACGGGAACTACCATATAGGTTTTCGACCCAAAACCTATAGGGTACTTCTGGTTGACCTAGAATTGTCAATTTTGGTTAAAAGCAAGGTCTTACAGTCCAAGTAAAGAGAAAATTCTGAAAAATAATAAAAGTTGAAAATTAAGGTAAATTTTGGTACTTACAAGTTTTCTCGAAAATCGAAATTTGCCCATATCTTTTTATTGTTTTGACTCAGGACCTTGATTTTTATACGCCTAATAGGGACCATAGACCTCATTATCTGGTATAAATTTCAACTGGCTTGGTCAACCCGTTCCTGAGAAAATCGGTGGTGACATACGGACAAGAAAGTGATCTTACGAGTATAAGGGTTCCTTTTTTACCTTTTGAGGTACGGAACGCTAAAAAGCGAGTAAATGTATGACAATCGCTAAACAAACTGAATCAAATTGTGACACTCGTATCGTATCATCTTTGACGATATAACGTATCATACTCTATTGTATCACAGTTTGGTTTACTTCACATTATAAATTATGCTTATTATTTTAAATTATTAAAAAAACGTGATTCGATTTTTTCTCTAATATTATAATTAGAGAAAAAATCGAATTACGTTTTTTAAAAGATGTGGTAAATCGGGACCTTTGCGAATGGAAATACTACAATTTAATAAAAAAAAAACAAGAAAACGTACCAATCATAATGTTAAAATTGTGCTCAGTATCTTGTAAGGTCTGCCGCATCAATTATCTACTTCTACTAAAAACTTTTACTCAAAACGCCTTAAATTTATTTCAAGATTATTATACACACACTTAAGACTACACACACACACACTTAAGACTATTTTAATTTAGGCTGTTTTGACATCCCTGAATTTACCTTATGTTATAATAAACTGCATTTTAACGCACTTCAGCTACTGCAGACGACATCGTAATAAAGGAAAACATAGTAATTATAATACACGGCCCGTATAGTGAGGAGGCAGGAACGTCTTTGGAGTGTTTGAACCACATGTGTCTTAGTCCCTGTACCCGATGTCGGTGATCTAATATTTTTTTTTATTTTAAATATGTATTTTTTTTAAATTAATAAATATGTATTTTCACAACGCCATCTAATTTAAAACTAAGCAGAACTTGTACCATGAAAACTAGATTTACTGATAGTATACTTATATATTTACATGATCACAATGTAAGTGTATTAGTGTAGGTAAGGTAAGTGTATTAGGCGGCTTTAATATCAGTACCTGGATGACAAGCTTTGCTCGGTATTTTTTGTTGGAAATTTTCTAAAAATGCAACCTAGCATACTAAATTTCATGAAAATCGTTGAAGTCGTTTCTGAGATTCAGATTATATGACCATTTAACTGACTGCACGGATGGCGTAGTGGTTTAAGCGGTCACCTCGCTGCTTCCTTCTGCGTTGAGTGGTGTTGGTTCGATCCCCACATGGGACAACACTTTGTGTGATTATCACATTGTTGTTCTGAGTCTGGGTGTGCCTTGTGTCTCTTTCGTTTATTATTTGTGAAGTTTCCCCGCGACACAAGACATATTTCTAGTGCGGGAGTTTTTTTAAAAATCATAATACACATATCATAATATACTGGTTAAAACGACCTAGATGGTGTAAGGGGTTGTAGTTTGTTATTACCAAAATTGTAGTAAAGTTACCAAACTGGGCCAAAGTAGATGGTTTATAATTAAAAAAAAAATCTCAACTAAGTTTTTTTCTGTGAATTCTGATACTATCCTAGACTATTATACCTTGTTAGATAGCTGACAGTACCTACATATATTTTGCATACAAACCTGCAACTTGACTGTCATAGTATTTTTTTTAAATATGAAAATAACTTTAAGAGTTCAATATCATGAAAATGGTTAGTTTGGCATATGGTATTTCATATGGAAATCTATCAAAAATGATGGCAACTACAAGGAGTGAGGAGCGATGGGGCGCAGTGGTTTCTTTCTATGAAGCTGTAATGCTCCAGAAAAAGACCGCTGAACGGGATCGGGAGAGGGTCGATTCCGAGCGTAGAGGTCGTCGGCGACCATACCAGCCGCCGACGGGGCCGCGGGCCGCCAGAAAGTGGGGACCTCTGGTGGCAGGTTGAATGCTGCGGTAGGGGATAGGATGGCGGCCTGATTGCATTAAGACGAAATTGGGCCGCCACGTCGCGATTTAGGGTGAAGTTTTTTTCCCCTGGGATAGGACCTGATTAGGCATGGTGTCAATTCGGGGAGGACCTGAAATAACATGGTCCAGGTCCTCCCAGAGTAGTCCCAGTCCTCCCTCCTCCAGTCGGGGTGGTTTTTAGTGGAATCACCATATACTCCTAGCTCCTAGCCCCGAGGAGGTTCCGAAGGGATTTTCCAGATTAACCCTGTATGAACAAAATGATAAGCAAGTGACACTACAATCTCAAGTGAAAACCACACTTAAAAAGAATAGCAAACTAGTATTATTCATAAAGACCCTAAAGGAAATTGAACAAATATGTTTCCAAAAAACAATTGCGCTTATGTTACAGCTAAACAAATGTATCATTTACAAGGTAACAACAATATTGCTTACTATAACTTCAATGTTTTTGCGGAAGTATAAATATTTGTCTTCAGACTGTGTGAAAGAATGATTCTTAGTATTTTATTTGAAGTGACAATCGTTGTTCAATTTGATGTAGTCGTTCACGATCAACGGAAGCATGCAGTCGTTTTGCAATTTTTTCGTATTCAAAAAAGTTGTCAAGTATTTTTTTCTGTTTACGGGCTTGTGGATTATATTGTTGTTGATAGTCGGGCTAAAATATCAAGCGTCCAATTCAATTTATGATGGAAGAAGATTGTATGAAACGTCTCTGGCCAATTTAAGGAACTGGCACATAAAGGGTGACATCTCTCGATTTCGAGGTAAAGTAACCAAGTGAGAAGTATTCAAAATGGTTAACAATCCTTTTAATATTTGGACTAGATGTCCATCTGACACACAATGCATTCTAGTTTCAAACTAAGCAGAGCTTGTACTATGAAAGCTAGATTGACTGATAGAAAACTTATATGCTTTTTTTTGTTGTAAATACATACAAATTATACATAGAGAACACCCAAACCCAAATACAAACATTAGCTCCGACCCGGGAATCGAATCCGAGACCTCAGCACAGCAGTCGTATACGCTACCACTGCGCCACCGAGTAATGTTAGAAGTAGTTAAATTTTTACTTAGAAATTTATTGATGACAGGTTGGGAGCTACTACCTTATACACATGGGAATTTAACGAATGCAGAAAGATTGAAAATAGTTAAATATTATGATGACCCTCCAGGTAATTATTATAGATAGTTTATCTATTATGCCAAAAGAGTAAAGAGGTAATATTTCTAAAATATTACCTCTTTACTATTTTATTAGTATACCAGAAATTTAAACTTCGTTGTAAGAAATTAGACTACTCTATATAGGTCTGTTGTTTGATTGGTTTATGGTTATATCTAATGTTATCTTCTATCTAAAAGTAAATTTTGTATAACCTATGTCATAATTAATATTTTATTTTTGAACCTACCACATCATATTTCTACATCACCTGAAGGTTGACTGGGAGAGAATGCCCCACGGCATTAAGCAAATGTCACGGTGTACAAAGGCGGATCTTTGTACATAATGTACATTAAATAAAATTAAAAAAATCTTACAACAAATTTTAATTTTATGGGTTTACAATTTATTGATTGTTTATAGAAGAAAATAATTAATTCAATAATCATAATATATAATTTTTTAAAGGTGTCGATGGTAGACCAGTATTATTGCAATCTAATTTGAGATACGACATCAAACAAAAAGTCCGAATCGGTTGGAAGTTATACCACTTCAATTCATTCGTTAGTGACCTCATACCTGTCAATCGGTCATTACCGGATTGGAGAGATACATGGTAATTCTATTATAAATTTTTCTTCTCTATGCCATACAGAATGTTGGAAAAGTACCGGAACAGCAGAATAATTAGCTAGGGATGTATTTTTCGGAAACACGTTAAAAACAAAAGTTACAGGAATTTTCTCTGGCAAGGCAAGGCAATCTCAAGGGTCAAGGGCAATTTTCAAATGGGATTGCATATTTTTCAGCCTGAAATTGAAAAGAGAGGAAAAAATTACAATCGAATATGACCGTCAGTACTCAAAATGTTGACCTCTAAAGGTCACCAATTCAAGGTCAAACTCTCTAGGAGTGAAAATATTGTTTTTACGGTTACGTCTTATTGTGACTTTTAATTTTAAAATAAAATCAGGATCCTATTTAAAAATATGACCGTGACCTTGAAATACAGATCAGAGTTTACCCATTCATAATCTAAGGTCTCCACTGAAGCCAGGAAAACAACCCTGAATCTTGTAGCTTGTATCTTGGCTAAAGAAAATAATCAATTTCCTTTGGTAAAATATAAAGGCATCAAAATCACATACAGCCTGTCTGTGAGCGATCACTATTCAGGGCTGCTGTAACGTCTGAGAGTCTGGTTTTATAAGATATTTTACGATAAGTGTGTGATAAGTATAAGACAAATAGAAGGGGTAAGACACTAGAAGTGACTGAGAGCAGACAGCGATATTTTTCTTCTTCTTTAGAAAACTTACATCATGTTTCGACTGTTTGACCGTAGTTATCCAGAACAAAGTTATTCATAATATTTTAGGTGCAGAAACCAAAATTACTCTTCAGATTTGCCGTCTGCAACAGTCATTATATGTTTTTACAATGAAGCGTGGTCTGCCTTAATCAGAACAATTACTTCAGTACTTAACAGAACACCGCCGCACCTTTTGGATAATATTATTTTAGTTGACGACGCTTCTACCTTCAGTAAGTTAACCTTTAGATACAAACTTTTGTTTTTTTTTGTTTTTTTATTGTTATCATGATAACATCAAAAAATATTCATAATCAACAGCCTTTAATAGTTCACTGCTGGACGTAGATCTCTCCTTAGAGAGGAGGTTTTGGCCTACTATTTCACGCTACGAAGACGTAAAAAATATTATTTTGTTGTTATTATGTTTTACTGCATCAATAATTCTACTCTAGTCCCTTAATATTCAAGACCAGTATCAAGGAATGTCATACATAACCTCCCTATCACATGATTTAAGCCGAAACTGTAAATATGTGCGGGACATTTAGCAACTAACATAATACAAGAGCCCGGCAGGTGTTAGTTGCAAGTTATATTACGTTGAGGTATTTTGTTTTAGATCACCTGCATAAACAATTAGATGATTATGTGAACTCAACATCGAAAGTTATCCTCAAACGTTCATCACATCGTATAGGTATCGCTCGGGCGAGGATGTTACCTGTTCAAGAAGTTCAATCACCAGTGCTTGTATACCTTGATAGCCATTGTGAATGTTCTGAAGGTGACTCAGCTATATCATTAAAAAATTATTGATTTAATCAGTTATTACCTTTCGCCCCCGGCCTCGTTTTCTTAGAACTTATTTTACAGTTTTTTTTTAACTGATAAAGCGTATGCCAAATTTCTTGACGTTCGGTAAGTAGTTAAAGGATAAAAGCTAATAAATAGCCTTACAATCGCATTTATAATAATAGTTAGAGCTGTTTTATTGATTTAAACATTGATTTTTAATTAAAGAATAATTTCAGGTTGGTTAGAGCCATTACTACAGCGTATCAAAGAGAACCCTAGTACCGTTGTCAGCCCAAGCGTAGATAACATACATGACAATACCTTTCAGTATATCCCTCAGGAAGTCAATAATCTTCAGATGGGTGGTTTTACCTGGGACTTAAAGTTTGCTTGGATAGGAATCCCTCAAACAATTTTGGAATCTCGCGAAGAACCATTAGCACCAATAACAACAGCGACTATATCTGGTGGACTTTTGGCTGTTAGCAAAGACTTCTTCGTGAAACAAGGAATGTACGATACAGGAATGAATATATGGGGTGCTGAGAATTTAGAATTATCTTTCAAAACTTGGATGTGCGGTGGTTCAATGGAAATAGTTCCTTGTTCTCATGTTGGCCACGTCTTTAAAATGAAGTCACCATACAAGGATGATGATAAGATCCTAAAGAAAAACTTTGTAAGGCTAGCAAAGGTAGTTTATACGGCTTATAAAGAGTAATGGGCTTTTTGATTTTGAATTATTTGCTTTATTTTGCTTTTTTTTTCCCAGGTGTGGCTCGATGATTACGCTAAATATTTTTACGAGAGAATAGGAAATGATATCGGTGAATACGGTAATATTACTGAAAGGATTAAGCTACGAAAAAAACTTAATTGTCATTCATTCCAATGGTATTTAGAAAATGTGACACCCCATCAAGTTATACCAGACACTTACGTAGCTAGTGGCCCCGTAAGTTTTACCTTACATATTAGGATTACTTGATATGTCTACAGGTAAAATATATTCTAAGGTAATCTAAATAATGAGTATTACTCGCATAAAGTCGCTAATTTTATGCTGAATTAGGTATTAAAACTACACTTTTTCTTTTTTTCGTATTCAAAATCTTATAAAATAAAGTGATTATTTTTTTATTTAATATTGCATTATTTACCAACTTTAGGCGCACGCATTTTTCATGCATATTTGTATATCAACCTTTTTTATTGCATATAATCCGGCTATTGATAATAATATAATATATATTTTAACCGAGAGCAGAAATGTAACTATTTTATTAATTTTAGATATCTAGCATACTAAAGGAAGATTTATGTTTAGACGCACCCGTACCCTTCCCGAAGTTTGATGCAATAGATTTGTATCCATGTCACGGTAAAGGTGGCAATCAGGTAACACATTTATACCCATATATTCTTCTTTTTCGTGAAAAAAAGGGTTCTTAACAGTCTTATAATCACAGTCATCTTAACAGTCAGATCTTTGACATGGTATTAACAATAATGTTGATTGTGTTTAATGTTCCTAATGCACATCACTCTTTTTTTTTGTCACACATAATTCTACTTACAGAACTCCTTTTGAGAAGAAACGGTTTAAAGTAAAATAATATTTAAAAAAAAGTTAATGTATACTTGAGTGTATATTCTTCGTCTCTATCCCTTCGGTGTTAACGCATGAACACATACACCCTTTGCGCTTATTTCTTTAAATATTATATATGACGGAGACCGGTGTCTGGGTTGTTTTTAAGGAGAGTGACGTCAGCATAACCGACATCTGTTTTTTTTCACTATCGTGGTTTTCCTCTATAAAATCTGTAGTAAATAACAACAACAACAGTAAATACACTTAAAGATGTATACCAAGTTCTTATCAACAGTCGTACATAGATCCGTACAGTAGTAAATAAAGACAATAGGAAATATGTATTCTAAGTAAACTATGTATGTTAATATAAGTATGTCAAAGATGCATTCCAAGGTCTTATTAACAGTTGTATATAGATCCGTACAGACCGACGGCTCGAGCGAGAATGACCAAGTGCGCGCAATGCAGCACGTTTTCATCAAACGCATTGATCGCCCACGTATTTACAAATTGTTAGGTTAAGTGTTGGAATTTTTTTGCTGTGTTTAGATAATACGATTCTTCAGGTTATTTTTTAACATTAACTAGCAAAACTTCAATAATAATCAATTATAATCGACTTTAAATCTATTAAATTATCTTTATTAAGTGAGGTAGTTAGTAGTTGCTCCGATACATACTTTGTGGCAGTTGTTTTTTTTTGTGAGTATTATTTACAACATCTTAAACAAACTAGTTTTCACTATATATACAAAACTTAGATATGAACTTAGACGTTACATATAGATCGATACTTCAAATTTCAACAAACAAAATAATAATAATCTTTATTTAGAACTGGTAACAAACATTGAGAACCAATTTTATTTTTTTCTTAATATTTTTTACAAAAATTGTTATTTTCTTACCTGTACCTGTACTTACTAACTACTACTTCTATAAGTGAAAAATATGATGAAAGTGAATTATTAATTTTACAGTATTGGTCCTACACTAGTATTGGTGAATTACGTCGAGACGACCTATGCATAGACTATTTGTATGATTCAATGACGTTATTTTTTTGCAATCATGCCGCTTCACAGCTCTGGTTATATTTTGAGCAGGTATAGTAATTTTTCTTTAAAGATAATATTAAATCAAGCAGAAATACATACCTTTTGGTCGTCCATTAACACTCTTATTACATAGTGTTTTTAGCCTATAAATTTCTTTTCAGTTAACTATGTAGCTGTAAATGCTAAGTTCAGTTTATTGATGCATTTTCGTTCTTCAAATGATTGTGGCCATTCTTTTTATTTCAGGACCAAATAATAGTACATAACTTAACTCTTAAATGCTTAAACATAGCTCAACATTATGATGGTTACAAGCCTCTGTTGACACGATGCAACAGAACTACTGCGCAGAAATGGAAAATTACCAATTTTAGGATTGAAAATTTCACGCCGGAATTGCAAGCAACGATGAACCTATATAAAAATTTATACGAACAACACAATAATAAATTAAAGAAAAATCGGACACTTGGTCACGGGATGAATTTAACAATAACTACGTCAAAAATAAATACATTGTCATTTGATATGAAAAGGGAAGGGTTTGACAATACAATGGTCGGTAGTAAGAGAATTGTGCACGCACAGTAATAATTTCAATTGAGGTAATTAATAATTTCAAAAAGGTATTGCAAAAATATAGATGATGCCTCGAAACAACGATAATTAGAAAGGTAACTGTACAAGTTAAAAGTTATAATAAACGAAAAAAAACGTTGTAACAGTGGATAACGACGAAATCAATTACTGTCTGATATAGGCTAGTCAAGTTCAAAAAAAAAATATACCAATCGAATTGAGAACCTCCTCCTTTTTGAAGTCGGTTAACAAGGTGTTAATTCTTGATAAAGCTCCTGAAAATATGAGCGATGGCTCATTCGATTCGGAATGACGTTTAAAAAATGTATCGAAAGTATATATTAGCAAATACAAAATTGTAAATGTTATTAACAAATTAGGATGAAAAATGATAGCATTTAGTTTTTTGTTAATAACTCAAAAATTATTAACATTTAAGGAATTTTGAAAAAAGATCATTAAGGAGGAGGAAATTGCCAAGAAACAAGTTTCGACTCTCTCTATCTCTATTATTTATAATTTTAATTCAATGCCCTACATAGGGCTCCGCCCAGCCGTAACGAATTCGGCGCACTACCGCTAAAAACAGTTTACCACATAAAATATTTTTTTTTATGAATATTTTAATAAAAACGTTAAATCTATTTAGGGGTAGCATATATTTTATATTAAATACTATTTGTTGTAATTTTACTTGCTTGAAAATCCCCATATTTGTTATCACAGCATATTTGACCCATATAAGTTCACGTTTTCGAACAGCGAGAAACAAACAAAATAGAGTGTTTAGTCTGCGAGTGGATTCAAAGAATTCCTTATTTCCCAATGCTCCAACATTTCCGTAATTTAAAATGTCAACAAGAATGTTTTGTTTTCTCATTTCCTTGTAGTTATTTGAAATACATATAGAGTTGTTTTTCTTTGGTTTATCTTATATAATGTTAATATAATTATTACGAGAAAATATAAATTTTTACCTTTTACGAGAAATACAACAAAAATATTAATGAAAATTGTATTGCATATTTAAGGGATCATGATTCAACGTGAACAAAAAGGTATTGGGAATAGAATTCTGGCTTGATATCTTTATTTTATGATTTAAGTAGTGTGTTAATATTCTGTGCACCTCAAAAAGTCTTGAAAACTTAAGTAGGAACGTAGTGGCTGCAACTAATAAACAAAATATCTTCACAGAATAATAAACTTATTTTTGTGTGTATTAAACACTTTGAGATAAAAGTTAATACAAGAAAAAATAAACTATGTAAAATTTTAGCTTAACGTAGCTTAGGTAAACACCTGAGCTGTCAACGTTACTGTAAGTAATTCATGACAATTTAGGATGTCTAACAACTTATACAATGTAGAATATGGCTTATATTTCGAAGCATACCGAAATAAATACAACACGTTATAAAAAAGTGACTCCCGCTTGATTCTTTTGTACGGCAGTCTCTAAAATATTTAATATTATATTACAGACGTATTAACTTCATCATCAGTTAGGATTTCGAGCATCGTCCCATGATCCCATGTTGTTATACTTCCGGTAGTTTGGCAGGACTTCGGGAATACATCCGTAATTCTTGGCACAAATTCAAATAGCTTAAGTATTATTATAATAATAATAATATCGTGGGGCATAACACAACACTATCAGGACTCAAACTAAGAAGTTAATTATTTCAAATTAAACAACGACTGTGTTTTATTTTTCTTTAACTCTATTAGAATACGAAATCAGAGAAAGATATAAATATTTTGGCTCTTTACATGACCATCATTATACCTTACCATTTTTTTAAACTTAATGAACTTAATGCCTAAGGCATTCTCCACCAGTCAAAGAGTTGCTGATGACATGTATATAAAACTTTTTTTATACGTCCATGGGTGAGGAAGAGAAAATAATGGGTAAGTGTATTTCGGTTAAAATTAGTTTAAAAAAATATACAGATAAAAAATCTAAAAGTATATCATATGCCTAAATACATCTAAACTTATATACATATAAATATACGAGTATATATAACATTAGATGAATAATCCAGGAGGCCAATTATCGTAATGAAAGTTCGGTCGTAATTCAATTCAACTTACGATCTCGCAACTGTCATAAACGGTATTTTAGTAGTAAAGAATTATTAAGACCAGCAGATTACCGATTTAACTTTCGGTCACAATACGATATTATCACATTACAGTCAACGTTGGATGTTTAATACTTTACGAGACGAGACGATGTATTACGCGAATTGGCCTTCTGAACTACTAATCGACTTCGATTCTGAGTTTGAGTATTCTTTGTGTCCGTTTCATATATGGTTGTAAAGTCCCCCGCCACCGTATTTTCCTAATGCGGGAGTTGTCTTATTTAAGAAGAAGAAGAATATTCTGCAGTTTACTAAGTATTATAAGAACTTTATTCGTTGAACACAATACTTTTTCATAAATAACTTTACCTAAGCATTAGTATATTATTAACTAACGATATTTACTAACGATTTAATTATATAATATAAAGTCTTAGATATCACATAATAATAATTCATTACCAGTATCACTGGGGCCATCTATGAGGTATTTTTAGAGGTCCCAACACAAACATTCAGAATTATCAATTCTTCGTACAAACCACAGACATTCTCACCGTAACAAGTTAAAGTGATAATTACATAAATGTGTCTAGCGTTTTCCCGAAACATCCACATTAGTCATGTATTAAGTAGGTCAACAGTATTGTGAGGATCTCGTACATTTGCATACGAATCACACACCCTTTTGGTAACAACAGTAGTTCCCTGTCACACATTCATAATAGTATTAGCATAAAACATGCTTGTATTACAGTATCATAGTTTTGTGAACGTTCAGATCAGAAGTTTCAGAAGCAGCTTTGAGTTGGTATGTGATTAACATAGTTTATTAAGGCGCCATCTTTAATTTGATTTAAACGGATTGATAATTCCTCCTGGGCCATTTAAAATGTAACTTATTTCGTGAATATTACTTGTACTATATAAATTTACTTTGCATTAAAGCAAACTTTTGGTTGTCATTAATTATGTACTTGGTTTTGTGCATCAGTCAATTATGTTAATTGTGTTAATATAATTGTTATTCAAAGCTATGGATTGTATAATGTTTTGTGTTAAAATAGTATAAGTAAGCATTTAAGCGCTTTGGTTCCACTACTGTTTTGTTATAAATAAATAATAAATTAAAAGTGAAATCCTTTGATGTTATTTGAGTCTTGAAGTTAACCGTTGCTTTTTAAATATGTGAGAGAGATAACAAAAAAAACATTCGAACATCTGACACACAACATCTAGTTTCAAAATAATTTAATAGACAATTTACTTGTGCTGTAGATCTGCCTTACCGCAATATTTCATGATTCTCTATATTAATATTTCTTTATAAACAATATTCTTAACTATTTTATGTTGATATATTTATATATATTTTGAAAGAAAGTGGATTTTAAAGATTAAAAAAAACTGTGACACTGAACCATGTTCGAAACAAGTGAAAAAAAAGTGATATAGTAAACTTCGAACATGGTTCGAAACTAGTTACTGTATCACTATTTTTTTAAATCTTTAGTCTTCTTTCTCTCTTTAAATTATTTTCTTTCCAGCTATATCATATTTTACATTTCTAACTTCTTTGATCAAGGTTCATACAAGCTTTGAACCCTCTCTTTAACCCCTTAGGGGATAAAATTGAAAAAAGCCCTTCTTAGTGCACACTTCATCAATTAAGGAACATTTTAGAATATTTCATGTTGCCGGACCCCGTGGTTTCAGCTGTCCGTTGATCAATAAGTTAGTGGATCGGTAAGTTATATCCTGTTTTTATATTATGTATAAAGTACACGAACTATGAAGTTAAAATTAATCTAAAACTTAACTTCATAGTTCGTGTTCCTCAGATGAGGAACTGATGAATTACGAAGTAATCTTATGAAGAGCCCCTTTTTCTTGTCTTCAGAACTCTGATCTGAACCTTAAAAATGAAAATACAAACTATTTCTAGAATATTATAATCAGTCCGTGTATGCCTGAAATGAGTTACATAAGTTTGATATGTAAAGTATAATAACACTTTACATTGGTAAAGGTGCGTAGTTAGGGAACTACTCCGCACTAAGGGAATCAATTAACTCACGAAACATTTAACAATGCAACCACGCGAATTACGGTGATATTAAGTTTCAATGGAAATGATACGGCGTACCTTTTAGTGTGCGTACAGATTACAAATAATCAGCGAAATTTTGCCTTAGACAGGTGATTAAGAGTAGGTTAAACTAAAAAAGGTTGAGTAGTTATATTACAGAACAGTTAATGTCACTTTATTTGAGAACTTTTATGAATATGCCTTGACACTTAGGACTTATTACTTATTGTCATGTCATGTCATTTCAATGCGCACATAGCGTCACATAATGTACATGCATAAAATGCACATATTATACACATGTCATGTAAAATTGCAATACTTTTTATTATTTTATTTTGTTCGGAATACCAACAGCACAAATAACGTAAGGTAAAACATTATAATAAAGTAACAATGAAGCTATTTACGGGTATTCGCAAATAGATAAATTGTTATTGATACATTAAATAAAATGTCAATAAAATGAATGTCCAATATATATTTGCTTGTTTAGTTTGGTCTTGGCTGCCAACTGCTGCCACTGCTGTTGTTCTGTGCAGTTTGTTCCCTTAGTCGGCTCTTACGACACCCACGGCATGCATAGGGGTGGAGACATTCCGTATTCTCAATCCGTCACCACACTCTTATTATAATATCCTTTATTAAGAAAAAACCTTTAGTGATGTGAGTCCCTTATAATAGTTTGCATGAGCAACCGAATGAGTAGTGCTTTAATTAATTTATAGATAATGTACCTGAAAAATTGTACAGATATAATGAGAATAGTTTTAGTAACTCGTTTTGGTAACAGAACGAAGAGTAACGAAAAAGAGTTTATTACATCAATGAAAATGCTCTTCGAACATCGTCAACGATCCGTTTGAAAATTGGAACGTAACGTAATAAATTAGTAAGCATCTGGTCGTGCCAGTAGCTTATATTGTACAATAACTTAGCAGCCAAGTCAAGTGGGAGACAGGCACTGTTTTGTATGATTAATGACGCGGTCGTTAGTCGACGAGACTGCAAATGGCAACAGAGTGTCGTCTTTATTTTCTGCTAAATGCGTTCATCTTTCTTGTACATTTGTGTCAAATCTTGGTGACGTCATTAGATGTTGACGTCACTGTAAATGAACGTGGTGGTAGTTGTTTTTATGCGTTTCAGCTTTTAAGCTAGGGATGAGAATAAGATATTTCTTAGGGGTATAAGTATACGTCGGGGCACCAGGGATTTCCTTTCTAGGGTACACCTGGTTCCCCGACTACTGGTACCTGAGACGGCGTGCGGGTTTAGTCGGTTCGAGTCCGACATTGCCACCGGTAAGTGGTATCCTAAGGGATTTCCGCACAGAAAAAAAAAGGGGTATAAGTATAAAAGAAACTTTACGCTTGAGATTATTGTTTTCTTCGTAATACTTTTTTATTACTTATCTCTAAGTAGATACTACTGGTTGAACATGTACCTTCTTCGCTGTTTAGATGCGACTGCAGGAAGGACTTGTGCTGTTGTCTTGCGTAGTTTGTTCCCTTAGTCGGCTCTTACCCACGGGAGAGATAGGGGTGGTGACACTCCGTATTCTTAATCCGTCACACACACCACACTAGAAGTATATAGTACAAAGCAATAAATTTATAAACCAGTGTAGGGCTAGTGTGACAGCCCTACTACCTACAACAATTCCAAAAGAAAAAGACTGAAAAGTCACAGTCTTAGTTGATTCAGCTGCACTCCGCATAAAACTTCCTGAGTTTTTACTTTCAATTAAAGAGTGCTAATGAAAAAACTAAGGATTCTTCACAATGGAGGTCATTAGTGAGAAAAAGTTTTTTGAAACGCTATCAAATTCACTCTTGGTTCTATTAAACGGAACTTTGGTTGTAAATCACGAGTTTTTGTTAGGTTGTGTTCAATCTAAGCATAAGCGTGACGATTCAGCAATTTTACTTGTTTTAGAAAGTGAATTTAGCTCATCATCAATCATAGCATCATAAAATTATAGCGCAGTTTGTCAGGGAACTAGAGGACAGCAATTCTGATCTACTTTAGTACATATATCTATAGAAGAAGTATCGTAGTGCTGTTCTTTTTTTACTGAGAGCTTGCCTTTTGCAGGAAACTGTAAGGCTTGTGAAACATACAAGTATCATAACTGGATGCCTAAGCTCTATTTAGATATTCATGTTCAAAAAATTATTAACAAAGCACTGCATTGTCATGATTTTCATTCATTATTATATTAAATATACAGATTTTGGAAAAAGTGCAGATTTTTTATCCCAGCATTCATTCAATCTTATCATTTGAAATACCTTTTTTTTATGTTGATTAAGTACGTACGCTAAGTTTAAGCGCACCATTGTCAGTGTATTACGAACTATACCAATTCAAAAGCACCGGTGTACTTAAGAGTTTGATCTGTAAAACGTGAACAATTAAGTTGGTTGTGCATTAATTACTGTTATCTATATCCACTGATATTAAACTTATTGTACAACTGTCTATTGTCACAAATAAAAAATACAAAGAATACCTGGGATTTGGTTACTTGACAATAAATTGTCATTTAAAAAGCATAACATCTCTTTATCACCTCTATTAAGTTATATTATCCAATTAATTTAACACCTTTAACCATAATTTATTTTTTAAACTGTTTTAAAAATACAAAAAAAAATCATGAGTTCAGCCATAAATGTATAATGTGCTGTTTCGACGTTTACCTACTCTTTAAGTTCATCTAAGTATTGAAATTTAAAAGCAGGGCTTTGATTGACATTAAAAATTTGGCAGTTATGAAAAAAATAATCAAAACAAGAATGAAAAACTCATTTTCAGAGGATCGTTATGTCTAATTTTTTCTACAATTCTTTTTTAGTTCGGGCGTTCCTCGTTAACTTCAGTATTTGCCCACCGTTACCTCAATTTACTTTAACGATGCCCTTGTAAATCTAAGGAGACCAGTCTTTTTTGTCGGTGACTCTTGTACTGTGAAACCAAAATATGTATTCATTTAGAATGTCAAGATTACTACTTCTTAAAGTTTTATCTACATTATTTTAAGGTTGATATTTGACTGACATTTCTATTTTGAAATAGCATTAAGTATTATCGGAGTAATGACTCTAATGAAGGTTTTTCAAAAGGGTGAGGTTTACCAAGCGCCATTTAATTAAGACAGGACAAGTTTTTGTTTCTAAATTTTCTTTTTTAAATTACAAAAGTACCTGGTTTTTCCCCTTGCACTCATTTCTTAAGCATGTTGATTTAATTCAAGAAACATTGATGCTGTTTATGTCTACTCATCTTAATATATATAAATCTCCTGTCACGATGTTTGTCCGCGATGGACTCCTAAACTACTTAACCGATTTTAAATTAAATTGACACACCGTGAGCAGTCTGGTCCAACTTAAGAGATAGGATAGCTTAGATCTTTAATTATAGTCGCAATTTTATTTTATTGCAAATTATTGGTCTATAATTAATTGACAGTCACAATTATCTGTTAACTGCAAAAGATTCTAACAGATGTCGATACTTTTCGACTGGATTGAGTAAGTAATCAATAGATGGCACTGCTATGGTAAACCGACATAATGTATATGGCAAAACAACGTTTGCGGGGTCAGCTAGTATATATAATATGTATGTATTTAGAAATATATAAGTATGTTTATCAGCAGTCTCGTTACCATAGTAAAATTTCATATGTATGTAGGTATAAGTGGATTCATATCTTCAGGGGTGAAATTTGCTTTGGCAGAGCGAGACCGGGAGAGGTTCAGAACCCTCCTGGCTCGCCAGGCCCGAGAACGGGAAAGATACCCCAGACACCTTCATAAGCGCAGGCCTGAGGTGACAGGTGAGGTCATCTGTCACCTCTAACAGAAGCAGGCGGGGGAGGGTGGTGGCACGACGCGCTACGGAGCGCGCACGTCGTTCAAGGCAGGAAGTTAACATCCGGGTTCCACACAGGAGAGGTCATCTATAAACCCTAGATGGCTCGAGGTACGTCAGGGTAGCAGGGCTTTCCTTTCTAGGGTATACCTGGTTCCCCGACTGCTGGTACCGTAAAACAGCGTGCGGTTTTTGTTCAATTCGAGTCCGACATAATCACCCACTGGTGGATGGTATCCGAAGGGAGTTCGGCACAGAAAAAAATGGGTTAAATATGCCTTACAGTTCAATAATAATAACTTTTAAACTGTTAGTGTTATGAAACATTACAACAGCCCATAATTGTCAATTCCAATCCGGGAACAAAAGATCTCACAATCGCGTACAATAGTTGTCAATTCTGTGTATCCAAAAAGTCAATACTCAATTCCACTAAAGCACTTTTCATAGAATTTCTTTTTATTTTCAATAAAGACGTGCGATTAGCCAGTTTTTTAAAATGCTGCGAAGCATGCAGTCGTTTCGAAGGTATACAGTGATAAAAAAATATTTTAAATTTTTGCTTATGGTTGTGGGTGTATGGATATGTTTATGTAATATGGTTTTTGGTACTGGTAAACTATATCAAAAAGCTTTATTGAATCTAAGAAGGAAACAGATTTTTGAGAATATTGGAAGATTTGGAGGTAAGATTACTAAATACTGAGGTTATAAACGTAACTCAATTGATTACTAGAAGTAGACTTTATTACCTATGCAATAATAACAAAAAGAATATAATCTCTGCGATCAACTACAAGCAAATAAATAAAGTATTATTCGTTTTAATGTAGTTCGAGTTTTCTAGTAAAATTTATAATTATAAATTATTTTGTTGACCTTGATTTTTATACACGTAATAGGGACAATAGATCTTAGTATCTGGTATAAATTTCAACTTGCTAAGTTTACCCGTTCCTGAGAAAATCGGTGGTGACACACGGACAGACGGACAGACGGACAAGAAAGTGATCTTATAAGGGTTCCTTTTTTACCTTTTGAGGTACAGAACCCTAAAAACTGTCGCGATCTGCGATGAAGTCTTGTCTATCGAGGTGGTTAAGGACACAGTATTATTTAGAGACTGTGAGCGACCTCTAGTTCAAATATTCAATTGAAATTCACGGACTCGCATCTTGTTCAATAGACTGTCTGTCGGTATTCTCGGCGAATTCGAGTCTGTAAGCTCGAAGTCCTAGTACTAAAACTTTCAGGACTATGTAAAAAATATAGTATGATAATTACCTAAACCTGAAAAATACAGTATACGGTTATTTCAAATAAATGAGATTTATACGGTTTAATTAAAATTGAAACTATTTTCAGTCTGGAATGTCCCAAATACAGTAAATGAAACGAAGTATGTGCCAATAGACATTAAAAACATAATCCTAGATTATGACTATCCACCGGGTAAGTAAAAAATGCTACCTTTTTTTTATGTTAGAGGAGGCAGACGAGCAGGCCGGCCTTTTAGGAAGGAGTACGCTTTTTTCTTGAAGGTTTGAAGGTCGTATCGGTCCGGTAATACCGCAGACGACAACCTGTTCCTCAGATTGGTTGTGGAGGGCAAAAAGTGTCTCGAAATGCGCACAGCAGTGGAGCGCCAACTATCTAGGTGGTGAGGATGAAAATTTTGCCGTGTGGAACGATGGCGGAAAGCTGCGGCTGGTATTAGTCCGAACAATTCCTCGAAGCACTCTCCATGATATATGCGATTGAGAATGCAATGTGAAGCGGCTAATAAATAATGCGGCTGTTGTGACTACAAACTTTGTTATTAAGTTTGAATAAAATGTTGCAGGTATTAACGGTAAAGGAGTTCAATTACGAAGTGATTTGAGTTATGAAATTAGACGAAAGTTAAAAGAGGGCTGGGAAAAATATAAGTTTAATGAGTTCGTCAGTAATCTTATACCAGTTAATCGATCGTTAGTTGATCAACGGGATGAATGGTGAGAAAACACTTTATTGACTTCGATTCGATACAAAAACGTGAATTATTAACTGACATGATATGTATCAGACTGTACATGTCGTAATTTATTCTTCTTTTGGAGAATCTTTCACCGTGTCACTTTATTGCGAGGTTTAGTCTCTGAATGTAATGTGAAGTGACTGGTGGGCTAGTGGTTAGTGATATCGACTGCTAAGCTAGAGGTCGTGGATTCGATTCCCACTCATGACAAATAATTGTGTGATGAACAAGATCATATGTTCTATGCCTGGTTGTAATTTATCTTTAATATGTATGTATTTGGAAATACATAAGTATGTCTCTTAGTTGTTTGGTTACAATAGTACCAGCTCTACCTAGTTTAGGATTAGACCATTATAATGTCCATTTATAGTACAATTGATTTGTTTAATACAATTTGTATATTTTTAACAATGCCAGACAAACAGTCTTTATAAACATTTGTGATTGAAACGAGTGGTCGTCAGTTTTTATTATCAGATCCTTTTGTCGCAGGTTCTATTTTATTCCGAATTTGGTTGTAAATGGAAAAACAGTTAATCTTGATGTCCCATAGGCTTATCTTTATAGCCTAAGTGAATAAAGATATTCAAATTTGAATGGTATATCTAATATAATAATTCAAATTGAATACAATAACATTTTTTCAATGTATAATATGTATGTATTTACAAAAAAGTATATAAGTATTCTATCAGTCAATCTAGCTTACACATGAAAAGATCTGCTTAGTTTTAAACTACATGACGTTGTGTGTTAAATGTCTGAAAATATTACTTTTATTATTTAACACTATACAGTTGAAATCTTCATCAAATCTAAAAATGACAAAAAGGTCCTCGTAAGTGATTATCATCTTTAGAAATTTTGTACATGATAAAATATTTATTTAGTCTGCTTATAAAGAAAATAAATTTACTTTTGTAATATCCAAAAATAACCGGCTGACCCTTCTGGTGTTGTATGAAAAGTTTGAATTAGTAACTTTTATTTTTAAGGTGTAAAGGCCAAACTTTCTCCTCGGACTTGCCAAATGCCACTGTAATCATAAGTTTTTTCGAAGAATCTTGGTCTACTTTAATAAGAACAATTACTTCAGTGATTAACAGATCACCACCGCATCTACTAGATCAGATTATTCTAGTCGATGACTATTCAAGTTTAGGTAAGTTCATACGCATAATAACCTGAACCTATTACTCTAGTAATATTTTATTAATTTCCAAAAAATATTTGAATAATAAAAAAAATATTTCTAAAATGAGAATGGATATCACGTATAACACTCAGATAGTTGATTTTCAATTAATAAGGATAATTTTCGATCAAAAAAACTAATTTATTTCCAACAGCCATTGGCAAAGAGAGGAACACCGAGGTGGTTTTTAGTCGGTAAGAGTCCGACAGACCCCTTCGCCACTGGGCGAGGGACATCCATGAAGATCTTCCACCCCGTTAACAAAAAAAAAAAGAAAAACAATAGGTTATTTGATCGAAGAAGATAATATTTTGTTTCTCCTGAACGCCAACCATGAGTCACAGTAGACTTGTGTTAAATGAAGACAAAAACTAAATACAATGATTTCATATTTTTAATGTTCCAATTTTTTATTTTATTTAAATAACTATTTTTGTTATTTAAGTAGCGATTGATTTTATAGTGGTGAATATGTGTTTATGAATATATATTTTCTAGATATAATAATTACTCTTATAGTAGATTACATTTTACGCAACTTCACAGGTTCACAGTTTTAATATTTGTTTTATATTCTCAGATAAATCGGTTTACGAGTAATGTACGACAGATAATGTATTGCTGGATATCAGCACAATATTCTCAACACTGTTTAAAGATAACATAACGAAACGAAAGTTATTGATTAAATAAGTTATGTTTGTCTTGCAATGATAATTATGTTCTTTTATCCAATGTATCTTATAAATAAAATATTAGAAATGTGATAATTACATTCTACTTTTTTTACCTAAACCATTTATTTAAGTTCCATGGCTTTTGATATAAAATTCAATTTGCGATAGTTACTTATTTACCGATAAGTTGTATACATTTTATGGTTTCTCCTTTAAGTTGTAAGTAAGTAAGTTCTCTAGTTGAAAACTCGCTTTAATTCCTAACATTGTATATTCTCAGATCACCTTAAACAAAAATTAGATGACTACGTTGCATCGATGCCTAAAGTTACCCTCAGAAGAGCCCCTCGGAGATTGGGTGTCGTTGGAGCAAGGTTGTTACCAATTCAAGAAGTCAAATCACCTGTTATTGTATATCTTGACAGCCATTGTGAATGTTCAGAAGGTAGGGGGAACAACTAGGTTACAATAATTGTAGTTGCAGGTTGACCTTACCAATAGTGAGTACGTGAACACGTTAAGTATTATACATAAACACAAATATTATCAAAACAATGATCATTTTAAAATATATATAGTGAAAGAGTCATGCTTCGGCTTGAATGGGCCGGCTTGACTGGAGTGATACCACGACTTCACAGAAAACAGGTGTTATGCAATTTTTCCGTTACTTTTCACGGAGTGAGTAAAGTTATTGGAGCCCAAACTTCTTTTCTACCTGACTCTAGGTAGAAAAGAAGTAAGGCCCTATCCCGGGTAAGTCCATCCCGGTCTTACCCGGGATAGGGCCTTACTTGGCACGGCGTCGATCGGGGGTGGGGGTGAGGGGGATCTGAAATAACATGGTCCGGGTCCTTCTCAAAGTAGGACGCCTGATACCGGCCGTCGGAGTGGTTGTTTAGTAGAAACACCACATACTCCTGGCTCCTGCGTCCCCGAGGAGCTGGCAATTAGAAGGCGTATACCAACCGGTCAATAAAAAAAAAGAGGGGAAGAGACTTAAAGGGTGTCCATGGGTGGCGGTAGTCGCTCACCATCAGGTGACCCGTCTTCTTGTTTGACCCCTTATACCATAAAAAAACATTTTTGATTTTCAGGATGGTTAGAGCCCTTACTGCAGCGTATTAAAGAAGATTCAAGTATAGTGGTCAGTTCAGTCATAGACAAAATACATACAAAAACTTTTGAATATATTAAACAAGACACTGAACAACTACAATTGGTTGGATTTACGTGGGCTCTCAGTTATTCTTGGATGCCAATTCCACGTAATATTTTCACTGTACGCAAAGTCCCTGCAGCTCCAGTAAAAACACCATGTACTCCTGGTGCCATCTTAGCTATAGACAGAGAATTTTTTCGAAAGATTGGGTATTATGATACAGGAATGGAAGCTTGGGGTGCGGAGAATATAGAATTGTCTATCAGAATTTGGATGTGTGGCGGTTCATTGGAGATTATTCCTTGTTCGCATGTTGGCCACATTTACAGAGTTCCTGAAGAAAAATTTCTAAGGGCAGTTAGCAGAAATTTGGTTAGAGTAGCCGAGGTAATTTTAATTAAGTAAAATAGAATTAAATTCGTACTTTTTACTCTTTTTAGAAACACAAATGAAAACTTACAAATTCTCCCTCTTTTTAATGTTGATGAAGTTGACAATTATCATTTTTTATATTATCCATTTTAGTAAACTATTAAAATAAGTAATCTAAAAATAATTTTGAGAAAGATTGGGTAGTAAAATAAATGTGATTTTGAGTAAAAGTGGAGTATAGTTAATGTTGATAAATTATACCAGGAAATACTATTAAATATGAATTATTTTGTAACTTTTGGTTTAACTAAGTTTATATCTCAGTTGATTCATACAGATAGCAAAACTGCTTACACGAGTATATAAACTAGTCTATGTTACAATCAAAAACCTGAAGAGTTAATTGCTGTATTGTTCGTTTAAACACGAAAATATATAGGAATATCTTTAAAATTCTTTTTACTTCAAATGGAGTATTTAAAGAAGAATGTTTAGGTTAATTTAATATCACGCGATAATATTTAGAAGCAGAGGAGTGACCATAAACGTAGATGAGTTTGTGAAGAATGACTAGTAACTAATGTAAGGTATTTAGTCCATGTAGTGACGGATTAAGAATACGGAATGTCACTACCCCAATTCATCCCGTGGGTGTCGTAAGAGCCGACTAAGGGAACTAACTACGCAGGACAACAGCACTGCAAAGAGAAGGAAAACTTAAAACAAACCCTATAGGTACCAACCCGTCTGGCCAGCGTGGTATAGTAGGCCAAAACCTCTTTCCTAAAGAGAGGCCTATGTCCAGCAGTGGACTATTAAAGGCTGTTGATGTTAATATGTCCATTAGCTTGGTACATTATGACGTTCAGTGTGGTATTAAACGTACATATGTATAACGTATTATTAGCATTTCAGCTTAACGTCAATAATGTCAGGTCATGTAAACTTTTTTTTTATAGAGCTCCCGCACTAGGAATATATCCTGTGTCGCGGGGGACTTTACAAATATACATAAAACGGACACAAATAACACCCAGACTCAGAACAACAATTTGTGGATTACACAAAGTGTCATCCCATGTGGCGACCGCTTAAACCAATACGCCATCCGTGCAGTCAAAGTTATATTTATACGATTTGAATACAATCACATAAATGATAAAAACCTACCTATTCATGACGAGAAATATCTCAGGCTATTTACAGCTTGTGCTTCTACTGTACATTTGTACAGTAGCATTTGGTGGCCTTGGACTAGCCTAAGCCTAGAATTAAGATATCCGGACCCCTCCTGGACCTTTTCCTTCCGACTGACGCAGGTCCTTTCGTGAAGTACCTGCACTCGGTTATTATTAGGGAATTGAGTGCCGCTTGTCACCACTGCGATTGCAGTGAGGCAAAATTTTCATCCCCACCACTTGGATAATTGGCACTTCTACATGGTGCGCTTTTGAAGATATTTTTTGCCTCACACAATCACTCTGTGGAACAAGTTATCGTCTGCCGGATTTCCCGACGGACGACGCGACGACGCTTGTGACTCCTGAGTTGCAAGCGTTTATGCGTGGTCGTCCGTTTCCATCAGGTGACCCACCTGCTTATTTGCCCTCTCTTTCAAAAAAAAAAAAACCGGCCAAGTGCGAGTCGGACTATCTATAAAACGGATTATCTATAAAAACGGCAAAAAATCATGTCTGTTATATAGGCCCCACTCAAATATTTATTTTATTCTGTTTTTAGTATTTGTTGTTATAGCGGCAACTAAAATACATCATCTGTGCAAATTTTAACTGTCTAACTATCACGGTTCATGAGATATAGCCTGGTGACAGACGGACAAACAGATAGACAGACGGTCGGACAGCGGAGTCTTAGTAATAGGGTCCCTTTGGGTACGACACCCTAAAACCGTGAAATTACTAAATATAAAAAGTTCCGTTATATTTATTTCTATATTGATTACAGGTTTGGCTTGACGACTACGCCAAGTATTTTCATGCGAGAATAGGATACAATAAAGGTGTATACGGTGACGTATCTGAAAGAATACAACTTCGGCAAAAACTGGATTGTAAACCTTTCAAATGGTATTTAGAAAATGTATATCCTCAACTTGAGTTGCCAGAAAATGTAGGTGCTACTGGTCAAGTAAGCATACAATGTGGAATATTTACTTAAAAAAATATATAAATTAGAGGACGATCCATCTGTGAAATTGGACCCGTTTCAGAACCCTGCAGTGAAACTATTTTAGAAATACAATTCTGTACCATAAAAGAAGATGTGTTTCATAATTTAGCTTGCAAATGTATTTTTAAATTTAAAAAAATACAGACGTTGTTTTATGCGCAACTACGATAAAGTTATAATTAATTTGCGAGGATGGGTAACCGGTGGAAATATGGTCTTTTGCCAAGGCTTTATTCATTTATTTACCTCAAACTTAATTTTAACTGCTTTCAAATTTTAGGAAATTCGAATATTCATTATTCTATTTCATCAAAATATGGAATTGTTTTTTCCTAGTAAGTCGATTATTTTACTTACGAATATATATATATTTCACAGATTTATAGTGCTGGTTACAAAGGGCTTTGCTTGGAAGCTGCTATTACATTGCATGAATATGATCCCATAAAGATGATGCCATGCCACTATCAAGGTGGCAAACAGGTAATATTTCATTTTTACATCTAAAGACGAATGGAGGAAGACTCTCCTTAGATAAGATTGTTTATATTACCAAACCTACTCAAGTAGTACGTAGTAGTAGTAGTAAGTACTTAGTAAATCCTTATATATCAACTTACGACATTAATATATTACCTATCTGTTTTTACAGTACTGGACGTACACTGGCAATGGTGAAATACGACGTGACAAGATTTGTATTGACTATTTGTATCAAACAGTTACACTCTTTGTGTGTAACAACGCCGCGACGCAGGTCTGGTTATATTTTGCGGAAGTAAGACATATTTTGATTTTAGTTAATATATATGTATATCTAACTACGCACTATTCAAACACTTCTGTGTGTCATTGTAGGGTCATAAAACTATGTTTTAATTAGGAAGTAGATAAAAAAAAATATCTTCAAGATAAGGATATTCCAGAAACAAATGCTTGTGATCGATCAATGTTTTTATTAATTAGCCACAGTCTTTAGACTCACTGTAACCAAAATCATCTGATCAACTCATGAGCTTAAACTGACATTCTACTATTACAGTTATCTCCATAGTCCACCATTAGCTTTAGTACTTTTAATATTTTTCATATAACGAGTAGCAAAGACTCGCTCATAAAGAGCTATTGGGAGCTAGCTATCTCCATGTATCGTCTCATTAAGAGTTTTTCCAGTTAAGAACCTCTGACTAAGACTATTTCTTTCATCATCATCATCAACAGCCTTTAATAGTCCACTGCTGGACATAGGCCTCTCCTATAGAAAGACGGTTTTGGCCTACTATACCACGCTAGCCAGACAGACGGGTTGGTACAGGGTTTGTGTCAAGTTTTTCTTCTCTTTGCAGTGCTGTTGTCCTGTATTGTTTGTTCCCTTAGTCGGCTCCTACGACACCTACGGGATGAATAGGCGTCATTCCGTATTCTTAATCCGTCACCACACGAATAACCATATTTCTTTACATTGCTTGATTTCTTTTCTTTTTTCTTTCTTTTATTACCTTTTTTTTTATTTCTTTATCTGTATTGAACTTTTAGCCAACGATTTTTATTTTAGGACAAAATGATACGGCATATGGTAACCAAAAAGTGTTTGGCCATAATTGAGCATGTTTTCCATTATAAAGTGATGTTGAGAGACTGTTTAGCACACAAATCACAGACATGGATAATGGAAAACTTCAAATTTGAAAATCTTACACCGATATTGAGGTTAGGAATTAAAGCCTATGACAGTTTTAAAGACAAATATAATTCAAGTGCAACACAGACCATATTTCCAGCTAAAATTTGATGTGAGTTTGAACCTTATGGACGTGTTACAACAAGAAAAATGGATTTTACAGCTGAAGTGCTAAGCGTTAACATTCAAAACATTCTGAGAAATGGAATTAATTGCTAATACTTTGTTTTTTTTTATAAAAACTAATTTTATTTATAAATATAAAATATATGCTTAAAAACAAGGATTAAAATACACTTAAAGATATGGTAGTAATAGTAGATGTTAACAATTGTATCTATATTTTGTAAAAAAAATATTTTTATTTTTTATATTCATCATTTCTTTTGCATATTCCTCATAATAAAAGTGTTATTATTTTTTGTAATATATGTATATTTTTCAAAATCAAAGAATAATTTTATATTTTACAATAAATGAATGTGATGATAGCGGGTTTTTCCTAGCTTAAAAACATTATAAATAAAATGAATATAAAATATATTATCAATAAATTAATTAAATAACATGTTTTTATTATTTAACCTTGTCTTATTATACATGCTTACGTATGTTATAAATACTCAAATCCAAATACATTTCATAAATGTAGTCACAAAACCAGCCATGTATAGACAGCGCCGCTGCATGTGCAGTTTCTAACTTAACGTAGAGCCAGTTTGCCAAAACACAAGTGGTCTGCTTTAGTATTAGGTTTCGGCAGTACTCTGTTCTCGCCATTCCCTTACTCTAAAGCCATAGATATTTATTTACGTCATATCCTATTTTATTTGATACTAGCTGGGACCCACGACTTCGTTCACGTGGAATTTGAAAAGCGCTGCCTTATTGGGTTCGATTCCCAGACTTGGCAAAATTTTAAAAGGTTTTTCTGAGGGGAAAAATAGCCTAAGTTACTCCTTATATAGACAGCTTCGTGGTAGTAATATATTATTAAAATTGGTCCAGCTGTTTAGAAGATTACCCGGAATAAACTGACAGACAAAAAAAATCAACTGGTTATGGGCATAGGTATCGTGCAAATAACCGTGTGAGCAGGAAAAAAAATATTATTTTTATATTACAAACAGACTCTTCAATTTTATTTATTTGTATAAATAGAGAACAAACGAGCAACGGGTCACAAGATGGTAAGTGACTACCGCCGCTCATGAACACGTTCGAACAAGCAAGCGCGTTGACGTTCTTTGAGTCCACTCCCCCTAGAATGATGGGGAAAAAAGCGTGAAAAGCAACGACTGTTACTTATTTATTCTTTGATTAACTTTTGACCGCCGCGTCGCCCGCACAAATGTTGGTTTTCGCGGTAAAAAGGTAGCCTATGTCTTTCCTTAAGAATCAAAGTATCTTCATACCAAATTTTATGTAAATCAGTTCAAAGGTTATTTATTCCCCATACAAATTGAACGTTTAGCGAATAAAATATAAAATAACATAAAAAATATGGACTTTAAAGAATGAACTACATTTTACTCAAAAATGTGCAAACAAACATTAACATTTTAAACAAAGTAGAAACTCCTTTGTAGTACAGTGCTTTTACTTTAAACCACAAAATGGTCCCGAATTCAAACGAAGTCCTCATTATGTGGTTAAGGGTGGCCCCAAAAAGACAGTAATAAAATGCTTTCAGGCACAAAGTGACAACATAATGCTAACCTTAAATAATGACTAAGTGTATTCGGTTTAACAGATTTTAGAGGCTGATGTGTAATTGAACATCAAAGATTTATGTTAATAACTGTGAGCTTTAAAGAAGCGAACTTACAATCGTATGATCTTTAAATAGAACAAAACAAAGTCGGTTCACATAAGGTTTACGTGTATAATTATATTACCTACTAACTGGTACCCGCAAGTTCGTTCGCGTGGAATTTAAAAAGCGCTGCGTTAGTGGGTTCGATTCCCGGACCGGGCAAAATTTTAAAGGATCTGAGAACAAAAATAGCCTAAGTTACTCCTTATATAGACAGCTACCTGGTAGGAAAATATCAAAATCGATCCAGCCGTTTAGAAGTTTACCCGAAACAAACAGACAGACAGATAGACAGACATTCAGATAAACATTTTCTAAACTGGTTTTTAGGCATAGCATAAAAAACCTATTATTTTGACATTACAAACAGACACTTCAATTTTATTTATTTGTATAGATGTGTTGCATGCGAGAGATTTTAATGTGGTTTACATCATTATTTAAGTATTTATCAAGTTAAATGTACATATTTTTAATTGAAGTAAATACGAGTAAAATATAATAAAGTCATAATAAATTGACTGGCTTGTTGGTCTAGTGGTTAGTGACCCTGACTGCTACGCCAGAGGTCGTGGGTTCGATTCCCACCCAGGTATAAGGTATAAGGAGGTAAACACAAATAATTGTGTGATGAGCACGGTCAGTTGTTCTGTGTCTCGGTGTACTTTATCTATAATATGTATGTATTTAGAAATATATAAGTAAGTTTATCAGCAGTCTGGTTACCATATACCACAGGCTCTGCCTAGTTTGGGATCAGACGGCCGTGTGTAAGATGTGTAAAAATATTATATTATTAAAAATTAATATTATTATATTAGTTATTATAGTTAAGTACCTCCTTTTTAAGGAGAGGCCTATGTGCAACAGTGGATTATTAAGGGCTGATGATGAAGATGAGTTAAGTACAAGAAAATAATAATTAGCAACCAAGTCACAGTACAAATAAATCATGGCTTAAGTAAATTTATAAGATTATTGAAATTACAAATATAGAATTATAATTTGTAGCAGATACTTAAAAAATAAGTTACACGCGTACGCAGTCGGGGCGGTTTTCAAGTATTCTGTTAGTATTCATAATATTTATGGGTTTAATTTACTATTTCAAAACAAATGAAAACATATCATGAACATTTATCGTTATTTATAGTTATCTTATAATCCCTTCTGTCTTAGAACAATAGAAATTAAGTATTAAACATGTGATAAAAAAAATGAATCTAATCTAATCTAATCTCTTATTGTAATATTATTTAAAGTTCTTCCCGAAAAAGATTAGAAAAGTGTATTCATTAATTAAAAGTTATACTTTAACAAACACTAATTAATTTTCCTGAGTGTAGCTAAAGCTGTTAGTATAATAGATAAATATACCAATTATCTGGCTACCTGTTGGCTTTTATACAACGTAAAGAATACGTTACTTCTCTGTTAAACTAATAAATTTATAACAGTGTCAAAATCAGTTAATGATTTAAGACCATTATGATAAGCTTTTCTCATTTTATATACCTACCTATTTTTGATTATTATAAATTCTATCCTATTTCAATTTCACTAGAAGTTTTCTATCAACTTAATTAGAGCTAGCTGGATCCATTTGTATGAAAAAGTTTATCACTTCCCAATGCCCGTTGTCAATGATACTAAAAAGGAAATGATTTTAAATCAGTTCCATTTTACTATCATTGCCCCATTAATTCGACTGGCCTAGTGGTTAGTGATTCTGCCTGCTAAGCCAGAGGTTGTGGGTTCGATTCCCACCCAGGACAAATAATCGCATGATGAGTACGATAATTTTTTCCGCGCCTAGGTGTAATTTATCTATAAAATGAATGTTTTTAGAAATACATATATATGTACATATGTTTACTGGCAGTCTAGCCTGTTTAATTTGGAATTAGAGACCGCCAGTAGGAAGACTATTTCTGTGAAATAATATGTAAAACTTTAATTAGTAGTATTGTATACTACTAATTATAGTTAGGTATAATGCCAAGCGTCCGTGTGGCGACGGATTAAAAGTACAGAGTATCACCACCAATATTCATCCCTTGGGTGTCGTAAGAGCCGACTAAGGGAGCAAACAGCACTGCAGAGAGAAGGAAAACTTGTCAAAAATCCTGTACCATTCCGTCTGGCCAGCTTCGTATAGTGGGCTAAAACCAGCTTCTAAGGAGAATCCTAGGTCCGCAGTGGACTATTAAACGCTGTTGGTGTGGTGTGTGGTGTGATAATGACAAGTACACGATTACACGATTAATCGTATTTTGTTTATGTTGTTTTTGTACAATAGTTTTTAGCATAATTTTGGCAGACTATGTAGTTACTAAAACTAGTTTTTAACTCGATGTATACTTAAATTTGTGAATGTTTAATAATTTGAATATTTTGGAACATAAGAGTAGATTTTTGTATGCGAGAGTGGCTGTCCAAAAAAAATACTATTCTTATGATATAGTTTAATAGGTTGAAAAATTCTACAATATCACCACGATGCCACAGGTAAATTTAATTGAATGTACGGCGTTCGTTTCTCACGTGTAATAAAAAATTTTTTTTAAGAAATTATGAACATATCTTGTGTCGCACGGGACTTTATAAACATACGTGAAACGAACTCAAAGAACAGCCAGATTCAGAATAACAATTTATGGATCACACAAAGTGTTGTCCCTTGAGCGCAGTAGATCGCTTCTACGATCTACTGCGCTCGACTACTACGTCCATCCGCGCAGACAACATTACTGGTTTCCCTTTTTTTTTCTGTGCGGAACTCCCCTCGTATACCACCCACCAGTGGGTGATTATGTCGGACTCGAACCGAAAAAAACCGCACGCCGTCTCCAAGTACCAGCAGCCTGGAAACCAGGTATACCCTAGAAAGGAAAGCCCTGGTACCCCGACGTACCTCGGGCTATCTACGGCTTACAGATGACCCCTCCTGTGTATGAACCCGGATGTTCCCTTCCTGCCACGAAGGGCGGGCACGCCCTTCGGGGTGTGTACCCTCAGACCTGTGTGTGTGAACGGGGCGCGTACCCTCAGGCCTGCGCTTATGGAGGACGGAGGTTGCTCTGCGACCACCGGCACCCGAGTTGTTGCGGTACCTGGCCCGTTCTCGGGCCTGGCGAGCCGGTAGGGTTCTGAACCTCTCCCGGTCCGGCCATCGCAGTGTTGGCCACCCCAGGCGTTGTTTCCTTGCAGATCAGACACAGATGATCCCCGAAGCATCCTAGCCCAGTGATGACCTGAGTCAACCGGTATGAGAGGGTCCCGTGATGCCTCTCGA